GCGCGTCAATGTTGAGCGGACAGCCGTCGTCGCACTCGGCGTAGCGGTTGGGAAACTTGCCAAACACCTGTCCGCCCCGAACCAGGCCTCCGGCGATGAACATGTTGCCACCCCAACCGTGATCGGTGCCTAGGCCATTGTCCGTGAGCGTGCGCGCCTGATGAAAGGGGGGGGGGGGGGGGGGGTCAGCAGCACGGGCTCCAAGTAGTCCAAGTACCGGATCAGTGCGTGCGCACAAAGTCAGACGCGGTGAGCACCACGACATCGTCCCACGCGCCCGTCACAAGCATCTCGGTGGTGAAGGAGGACAGAGCGTTGTCGATGTTGGCCAACCCGTTTTGAGTGCCTGCAGGCCCACCGTGCGCGTCGAAACCGCCCTGCTGGACGAAGAAGGCTTGCCGCTCGGGCTTGCCGGTCCAGGCGCCCTTGCGAGCGGCGTTGATGACCTTGGCCACCTGCTCAAATTGGCGCTCGATGCCGGAGTTGCCGAAGGCCGTCGCTGTCGTTGAGTCGGCGAGGCGCTGGCCGAGGTTCTCGGTCGCCTCGAACGCGGCCTGCATCTGGCGCGCCATCGTCTCCCCAAAGACGGAGCGCGATGAGTTGGCCAGCATCTCGTCGAGGTCGGACGAGACGGACGAGTACCAGCCGAAGCGGTTGCTGCCCGAGTCATCGACAGTCGTCGGCGGCACCGGCCCGCCCTCGAGGATGAGGCCGCTGCCCGAGATGGAGTACGACTCGACCTCAAACGGTGAGTCGTAGTCGGTGAGCACGCCCATGATGCGGCCAAGCACGCCGCTCATCGCCATGCTCTGCGCGTACACGTTCTGAGCCGCCTCCTGCTGGTCCTGTTCGCGCGATGGAGCAAGCGGGCATGAGGGTGGGGGATATGCTCGTGGTCCAATCGACCAGTCTTGTGACGTGGGACGGCGAGACGGACACGAGGAGACGCAGCGAATGCAGAGCTGAGGGACTGTGGGTGCCTGACCAGGTGGGATGGTGATGTCAGGCTTGCACGGCGCACCGAGTGGGAGAAGAGGCCCGGCGGAAGTCGCAAAGAGCCCGAGCGGTACTCGTGCTTGTCGGCGACCGGGTCGATCAGACTGCCGATGTTTGCGAGCAGGGCGAGCGAGCCGTCCTCGTAGAGGTCCTTGACTGTGTCGCTCACCGGGTTGAGTCCCATGCGCGAGCACGGGTGGGTCTTGTTCGGTCCTCCGTCGGGCACGTCGATCTGCAGCAGGTCCGTCTTCTGGAAGGCGACGACGCCGCGCACC